TCACATAGACGCTGCTTATAGAGGGGGCTGTTTTGCAGTAAAGAGGGCACCTTACATATTTGTGACCTTCAAATATCGTTTGAATAGTTTTCTTTATATTTATGGAAATGGCCAGGTCGTGAGTCTTGCCTCTCCATTCTAGAAATCAGAACTCAACTTCCCAGCATCTTTTAAGCTAGGATGCAGGCTTAGGTCAAGCCAATCAGATTCACCAGTGCTAGACTCCGATTTCTACGAGAATAATGGGGGAGAGAGGAAAGGAGCCATGGAGAATTCCTTCCTGGCCATGAGAGCAGCCTGCAGAGGGACCTGGAGCAACAGAAAAGAAGGCCTCATGAAAACACCCTGGCCCCAGTGACGCACTTCCCCGTTGGTGCTGCAACTGCAGAGATGAAGAAAACAGGCATGGTTTATTTCCCTTGGTGCTCTCAGCTGACCAGGGACACAGAATGCAAAAGGGAATGTACCAGGAAGGCGTAGAAAGCTGCTTTAGGGGATCGGGGATACTGCTCTTGTCTGGGAGATGGGTGTGTTTAAGGAAAGCTTGTGTCTCAGTCCATCACAAGCTTGGCCAGAGGTGCTGGGACCCTGGTCATCAGCAGGCCGGCAAGGTGATTTCAATGTTGCGCCGAGATGCTTTCCTTCACTGCAGATTCCTTCGCTCTCACGAAGAGTCTATGCACATTCCAACTCCCTTATCAATTCTGCTGCTGAATCTAGTTACAGGGTAGATGTTGTTTGCCACAAAGAACCTGAAGATGTTTAGAGAAAACGTATTCCTTTGCCATTATAAATGTCAAGACAAGGGGAACAGAAAGGTAAAATACGGCAATGTACTTTAGGTTGGTGTGAGATGCTTCTAAACATAGATAACTATAGAGATAAAACTCTCTAAATGAAAATGAAAAGCATCCTTACTATGTTTCCATGCACACACAAATTACAACTATGGATGTTATGCTGATTTTCAGTGCTTTTTATTTTATAGATCACATGCTGAAATAACTTGCTGTGTGCATTTGTGAAAAACTGACACAGACCTTAATGAGGAGACAGGCTAAGGGTGCATCCAAAAACAAAGCCAACAACCACCCCCCTGAACCAACACAACCCACCACCAACACAACAACAAAATAATAACCAGCTCACACTACACATGTGAATGAGAAAAAAAAAAATAGCTGAGAGAAGCCATACTGTGAGCTCAGCCACTGCATTGATGCTTGTAAAAGTCTCAAAAGTCATCATGACTTATCTCTTTTTTGAAGATAAAAGATGAAATTGGGCCAGGTGCAGTGGCTCATGCCTGTAAGGCGAGCACTTTGGGAGGCCAAGGCAGATGGATCACCTGAGGTCAGGAGTTCAAGACCAGCCTGGCCAACATGGTGAAACCCCGCCTCTACTAAAAATACAAAAAATTAGCTGGATGTGGTGGCACGTGCCTGTAATCCGAGCTACTCAGGAGGCTGAGGCAGGAGAATCACTTGAGCCCAGGAGATTGAGGTTGCAGTGAGCCGAGATTGCACCACTGCACTCCAGCCTGGGTGACAGAGCAAGACTCCATCTCAAAAAAATAATAAATAAATAAATAAATAAAGATGAGATTGAAGACATCATGGCACCCATTGACAATGAACGACTTTTCAGGCCCTGAAGTTATAAGGAAGAGGATAAAAAGCAGCCCTGACCCTCAATGCTGACACACTGCCACTTGGAAAAGAGATTGATGCTTAGCAATGTTTAGAAAGTGGTTAATAAAATGAATAGAATTTTTATTGTTTTAAGAATAATAACATTTCTGGCCAGTTAGGCTGCAAAAGTAGATATAAAACCGGAAATAGCCTACTTACATGAGAGTGTTTATTGAAGCCGTGTTTATAAAAAGGAAGCCGTGGAACTCCTCTAAGAGTTTCAGAAAACAGACTAGGTTAAGGGGCGTAAGATTCTCACAGTGATATGCGTTTATCACAATGTCAATTTTGAAAGTAATGGCATGGTAAAACATGCTAAAAAAAGGGAGCGCATGAAATTACAATTTCAATTTTACTTTCAAAAACCCCTATCTATGTAGATATAGATATATTTGGAAAAACACAGAAATAAAATATGTAAAAATGTTAATATATGTGTTTTTATATATAGGTGCCATAAATCAAAGGTGACTTTTTCTTCTATCTTTACCATTTTCCCTATTTTATAAACATGAATTTTATTATTCAAGTAGAAATCAGTATTAATTGTATATGTAATACTATAAAATATGATATATAATAAAAGTAAACTATAATATTTGTGCTTTGTGATTCTAACTTAAAATTTTAAATCTACCCATAGATAGAATACATAGAAAGAAACATACAAAACTCTCAGCATTTGTCACTGGGTGGTAGCATGAAGTCGATTTATTTTTTCCTATTTGTACTTTCTCAATTTTTAAATAACTGCATATTATTTTAATAATATTTGGAAAACTTACTTTTTATGAGATGATTGTGTTGTTATACTTCTAAATAAAGATAAGGAAAGTCAGAGAATTCTCACACTCTACCAATCACAGAGCCTAATCATCAAAAGCAAATAATTTAAATCTAAACAGGTTCTCTATGTTATTATTCTAAGTTTCAGAGGGGGAACCAGAAGCTGTCTGAGATACTAAGCCATTAAATACCATTTTCTAAAATCCCACAAGTTTCATCTTTAATGTGATAAACACAAAGCTCATAAAACCCATGATTGCAATAAGAAATTATATTCACTCACTTAACCTATTAACGTTTGTTATAAGAAATTATTTTTCCTCTCTTCAGCTGTAACTAAATATGAGCACTTTTTGATAATTAATACTACAGATATAGAATGTATATGAGATATTTATTCTCTTGTTTGTAAGAAAGCTTTGTTTTCTCCTTTACACTTCTTAGACTAAGAGTTGCCTCTAGCAGATTCAAATCCAAACACACAGCAAAGCCTTATTCTTCCGAATACAAAAGTTGAGTTGCTATTTCATGTGTGCACGTGAAAATAAAAGCAGATTCATTCAAGCATTTTTGTGCTCTCTTAAGTTAAAAGGAAGATAAGAGAAAGTGACAGCTAAAAAACTTGGAATTGGCTATAGCTAGAATGATTCCTGTCTTGATGAGGATTGGAAGAAAAACTTGAGAACTATTATATTAGCGTCAACTAAGGAATTCAGCCGAAGGCAATAGTGGAATTATGTAGGTGAAGTCAAACCATGGGGGGCTCGTATGCCATACGAACCAATATGCGCTTTATTATTCAGACAAAAGGGATAAACTGAAAGTTCAGAATAATTGTCTTATTCCACCCCAAGCTTCAGATTTCGGTACTAGCTCAGAGGGTGAACCATGAGGTAGCGATGAAAGTATTCCCAACTTAGAGGGTCATGCTATTCACTTATCAGAATAATCAAGGTAAAGAGGGATTCTGTACCCCATCTTTACCTCTACCTTAACAAACAGAAACCAGCTGCTGAGACAGATGGGTCATCCAGAAATCCCAGCCATCCAGAATACAGCTCAGCACCAAGGAAGACATTATTTTCATTTCTTTCTTCCTTTTTTTGAGACGTAGTCTTGCTCTGTCGCCCAGTCTGGAGTACGGTGGCATGATCTTGGCTCACTGCAGCCTCCACCACCCGGGTTCATGCGATTCTCTTGTCTCAGCCTCCGGAGTTGCTGGGACTACAGGCATGTGCCACCAAGCCTGGCTAATTTTTTTTGTATTTTTAGTAGAAATGGGGTTTCACCATGTTAGCCAGGATGGTCTTGATCTCCTGACCTCATGATGCGCCCGCCTAGGCCTCCCAAAGTGCTGGGATTACAGGATTGAGCCACTGCACCCAACCACATTATTTTCTTCTTTAGTGCAAAAGACTGATTACTCATAACTTGCAAGAGGCAGTCAAGCTGACAGGGACTGTTACCATATATATAGCTAATTAGCAAATCTTTGGAATGAGAGACTAAAAGTGTTGAGCCAAGTTCAATAGGCATAGATGTAAAGCCTTGTGTTTAGACTTTGTAGGCTAACTCCAAAAATCCAGGAAAGGAGAGATTTGTATAACAGCAGTTCATTTAACACGGAAATGAGAGTTTGAGCTGTTTAGGACCTTGATTAGTCTAGAGTGTTAATACTGTCTCTCTGCAGTTATAGAAGCTATTCCCACCATGGTGGACATTAGTTAGACAACTGCTAAAATGTCCTTATCTCAGAAGGTGGCCAGATGGTGAAAACCATAGCATATAATCATTAGTTAGTAGCGATGTAAATATTTTCAGATAGTTGAAGGGCTGAAATATAAAAGAAGAATTAGTTATTTTGTATCATGGTAATGGGTTCAATCAGGACCTGGGTACAAGTTACTGGGAAGCAAACCAGTTTTGGTACAATAAAAATCAACAACTTTCAAAGAATCAGAGTTTTTCAAAATTGGAATAGATGGTTCTGAGAGTTAGTGCCTTGTCACTGAAATTATTCAAGAATTGTAGGGTGATTCCATGAAGGGAGTTTGGTCAATGTATTCTGCTGCTGAATTAGGAGTTTGATTAGATTATATCCAAGTCTCCTTGCAAATCTTTATATTCTAGAATTCTGTAACTCTTCTTGCAGTATATTTGGAGGCCCCAATTCTGTAGTCTGGAAATTGAAATTAAGCATCTCTTTGTTTTTAATATGCTTAGCTTACCAAACACTAAATCCCATTGATTAAGATATTGTAAAATAATATTTCTTATAAAGAAATTTCTAGGCATTCTGGAAGACTTGGAGTGTAATATATATTCCCTGGCTTATTATACACATTTTCTAAAAAGATTATTTTCAGCAGCTGTTTCCAGGTACTTTTAAGTTATATGCCATAATCTCTGTTCTATGATCATATCTTTGAGATACCAACATAGCTTAAATAAAAATCTTTATTGGGTTTTTTAAATGTTTTAATATAAAAAGGAAGTAAAACAGTAACCCATGCTGGGCTTTGAATGGGGTGCAGATGGGAACCTTCTCTTCGCATGACCCCGGACCAGGCCCTCAAGCATGCTTGGATTCATCAGTCTAGGAACCTCAAGCCACAGCTCAGGCCCCAGACCCTGAGGAAATCCAGTTTCGTTTTCCCCTCTGAGACAAGGAAGATCAAGGTTCAAGGCCGTCATCACTCGAGCAAAAAAGATACAGCCTGTCAAATAGGCAGTCCTATTCCCATAGTCCAGGAAGCCTGCCATTTCTTACCTTTGGGATTTTCCTTTTTTGCTCCTTATTAGGATTTTCCATTATTCTCCTATAATCAATTTCCTTTCTCCTCCTCCCCTTTTCCTTAAGTGTGTCCACCCCTTTATGCCCTATAAGTATCTTTAGAATTTCTGTCAGTGCCAGATGATGGTATTATGCAAATTTTTATGTGCAATATAGCCTAGTGGTTAGGTACGTGGTCACAAGTCAGGTTACCTGGGATTAAATTCTGGCTCCACCAGTTATCAGGTATGGACTTAACCTCTCTATAGCTCAGTATCTCCATTTATGAGAATGAAAATAATGCCCATTCTCCTGGGTCGCTGAAATGGTCAGATGAATTAGTAAATGCAAAGTGCTTAGAATAATGCCTGGCACATTGAACGCGCTTTACAAATGAACTGTTTTTATATCATCCCAGTCATGGTTTCCACTAAGTGATTTACAGCCTAAAGGACAGTTCTCACATAGTCCCCATTTGAATGCTTGTTCCTTCTGTCTTCTCTCTCCTTCAGCAGATGAGATCACCAAAGAGACTACAGACAAAACAAAAGATGGCCCCATGAGGCATATTCAGCATTCGGGTGATCAGCGGGACTCTCTCCAGCACACAGCTGACACTGTTCAGCTGCCTCAACTGGTAGAAGCTCCCCCGAAGTCAGAGGCAGCTGTTGGGGCAGAAGTCTCCATGACCTCCACAGGACAGAGCAAAAATTCCTCCCCAAAGAACACAAACATTTTACCCCCTATTGTATGACCTTTGCTGAGAGTGTGTCCTGCTCCTTTCCACCAGTGATTTGTATTAAGACAGCACTTATATTGGACAATACTTCAGACTGTTGCTTTTTAATACATAAAAGTTTATTTAAAAAAAAACTCTATTAATATGGCCAGTTGGCATGATTTCTCTTATGAGGGATGGGGGAGGATGTCCTCACACTTAAATTCATTCCATATGTGTTTGTGTGTTGGTGTGGGAATAGTTTTTAACTATTAATGTTATAGAATCATTAATGGAACTCTAAACAAATACATTTTTTTTGTTGTTCTTGCTCGTGACTGCCAACTTATGTCAGGATTTTTGTTTGAAAATGATAGAAGCTGAATTCAAAAGTAGCTTAAACAACAGAAGACATTTATTGACTTATATAATTGGGGAATCAGAAAGGGTAGATGTAGTTTCAGGCACAGCGGGATCCAGGAATTCAAATGAGGTTGTAGGGTTCAGACTTCCTCTTCATCTATTAACCTTGCTTCTCTCTATGGTTAACTTCATCCTGATGACAGGCTCTGCCCAGAAATTAACCACCAACATCCAGTCAAAAGATGCAGGCTTCTTTGCTGACAGGAAGTCTCCAAAATGATTGTGACACAGAAACTGTGCCTGGGAGACTGGGATGCTTGGCCAGTCAGGGCCCCAAGCCCACAGGGATGGTGAAGGTACTGTGACTGATGCTTCTCTAGACTACAGCAAGGGATGGAAGTTTTCCCAAAGGAGGGGAACAAGCAGGACACATTCATTTATCTACCATACCACAAATCTAAGTATGCCTTCTTACTTCCCTTTCTAATCCTTATCTACACAAATACATAACCTTTATGTGATTATAATAGGGCAGATAGAATTCTACATGAAACAAGATTATAACATAAGAAACAATATAGAATATATAAAAATAGTTTTAGTTTTCTTTTTTACTTGCCATTTGGAATAACCTCCCCTCAATACACTTTTCATTTTAATTGTTGCATAACATTTTATGAACATTGGCACCAAGTCATTAAAGCAATGGATTTGGATGCAATCTCCCAGGGAAGATCTTGAGTTAGAATAGCAGAGGGTTGAAAGAAAGTCCTAGGAAAGATAAACATAAAAGGAGTTGACAGAGTTGAGGAGGTCCCCCAAGAGACCCAGAGATACAGGAAGAAAATTAGAAGCCAATGGAAAAGTTTCTAAAAGGAAAGAAGGGTCAAGAATATAAAATTCCACAGAAAATTCAGGATAAGAACAGAAAGTATTTCTTAAGTAGGGTGATATGTATATTAAGTCAGAGCAGTATTAGAACAGGTATCTTATCCCAGGTTCTATAGCCAGCCAGAAAGCAACAAAACCAGCAACAGAATTCAGATCCTTGGGAATATTCTTGACACGAACTTCAACCATGGATGAAGTCGGAGGCGGACATTGTCTGCAGCTCTACAGAGAAAGGGAAACCAAGTCTTCAACATTGTAATTGGGATGATTTTGATTGAATATTAGAAAGTATCTTCTGATTTTCATGGTTATAAAAGGCTAAAATGAATTATTGATAAACTGTGGTTTAGTTTAAGAGAATGAGGAAGCTGCAAATTGTGACACAGAGACGGGGACAGGCTGAGTGACCTCCAGCAGGGCCCCTCAGTCCAGCTCTGCTGTACCTCTGGCATTCATCTAGTTATTTTTTCACTCCTGGGATTTCTCTACCTGATTGTTCCATTGGATCCCAAGAAAGCAAAACACGTGGAGTCATTTAGTTGTAATTTTTTAATTTTACGTCCTTGTGCTCATGGACAGGAAAATCTGCAAAATCCAGTGACTAGCATAAGATGACATGTCTTTGATGAGAGTGATATGAAGATAATGTTAGGGCTCTGTAAGGATATAGAGGGGGAGCTGTGGAAATGAGAAAGAAGGGTGGGGATAAGGGCCAGGCCCACTGCCGGAAGAGGGGAAAGCAGTGGGGTTGCTGATCACAGGTTCACCATCAGCCAGTCCAGCAGCTGCAGTGCCGTGACATTCCCCACTGCCTCATTCAGCTGGCGCTGCTTCTCATAGCATAGCACTGACTGCAGAACCTCACCCACGCTGCATCCTTTGTCCACAGCAGCAGCCGAGAGCTGAAGTAGCTGTGAAAGAAAAGAAAACACTAGTGGAGAGGCCCAGCATTCCATGGCAGGCCAGATGGGGCCTGCCAGGTCTAGAGCAGAGAGGCCAGGCAGACCTTGGGAAACTGCAACACAGACTTTAAAGTCTGCTGGCTTGTTTGCAAGAAGAACGTTGGTAACAACATTTTTAGTTTAAAGTAGAGATGTTAACACCCACCTGCCCATGATCTTGCTCTCTAAGAATTCTAAGGTTCTAAGTTCACCCTAATGTCATAAAAGTCTCTGTCATTGTCCTAAGACCAAAAGGGCATGACAGAAAATATCCAGTGAACAAATGTGGATGCTGCTTTCCCTGCCCCATAGACCACAGAACCCTAAAATGTTAGAGCAAAAGGGCACCTTGGAGATCAATTCAATCCTCATGAAGTGCTTCCCAGAGAAGTAAAGAGACTGTTAGTTGCACACAGTTGGGGGATGAAAACTGGGAAGTGTAAATAACTAAAAATAGCCTACAAAATTCTGGGGTAGAAAAATAAGGAGTTTCCAGTCCTATCAGATATTCAAAAATATTACAGAATTACAGTAAGTAAAACAGTATGCTATTGGTACAAGAGTAGATGGACGATTCAATGGCACAGAGTAGAAAGTTTAGAAAAAGAATAGAAAATAATAAATTGTTAACCCTACTTCATACCTTACATAAAAATGAATTCAAAATGTATTAAAGTCTTAAATATATTTTAAAAATCATAAAAGTACAATCATGCACTGCATAATGATGTTTCAGTCAACCACAGACTATACCTATGATGGTGGTTCCATAAGCTTATAACGGACCTGAAAAACTCCTATTTTGTAGTGATATCATAGTTACCGTAACATAGCACAACACGTTACTCACTAGTTGGGGGTGATGCTCCTGTAAACAAACCTACTGTGCTGCCAGTTGTATAAAAGTCCAGCACACATTATTCCATATAGTGGATAGTACTTCATAATGATAATAAATGACTATGTTACTGATTCCTGTATTTACTATACTATACTTTTAGTGTTATTTTAGTCTACTCCTACTTACTAAAAAAATTGTAAAACAGCCTCAGGCAGGTCCTTGAGGACAAAGGCATTGTCATCATAGGACATAATACATAATAGCTTCATAAGCGTTACTTCCCCTGAAGACCTTCTAGTGGAAGAATGTGCAGAGGTGGAAAGCAGTGATATTGATGATCCTGACCCCATATGGGCCTAGGCCAATGTGTGTGTTTGTGTCTTCATTTTTAATAACAAGTTAAAAAAATAGAAAAAAAGCTTATAAAAAGGAATATAAAGAAAAAACATTTGTGTATAACTGTACAATGTGTTTGTGTTTTAAGCTAAGTGTTATTTACAAGAGTCAAAAAGTTTTAAAAAATTAAAAGTTTAAAACATAAAAATGTTACAGTAAGTGGTCAATTTATTATTGAAGAAAGAAAAAATATTTTAAAATATATTTATTGTAGTCTAAATGTACTGTGTTTATAAAGTCTACAGTAGTGAACAGTAATGTCCTAGGCCTTCACATTCACCCACCACTCAGTCACTCACTCATCCAGAGCAACTTCCAGTCCTGTGAGCTCCATTCATGGTAAATGACCTATACAGATGTACAATGTTTTATCTTTTATGCCATATTTTTAGTATACCTCTTCCATATTTCAATATGTTTAGATCCACACATACCATGGTATTACAATTGCTTATAGTATTCAGTACAGTAACATGCTGTATATAGGTGTGTAGCCTAGGAGCAATAGAATACAATATTGTCCTATACAATACAATAAAAGCTAGATGTATAGTAGGCTATACGAGCTAGGTTTGTGTAAGTACACTCTATGATGTTCACACAATGAGGAAATCACTTAACGACACATTTCTCAGAACATATCCTGTTACTAAGCAATGCATGACTGTATGAGAAAAAAATGGGAAAGTTTTGCTAATAACATAATTAGCTAGTATCGTTTGTTTGCTAATATCATTTGTTTTCCAAAATAAAACATAAAACCCAGGAAAAATAAAAATGTCTCATATTTGACTACGTTTGTGTGGCAGACACAATCTAAAACAAAACAAAACAAAACATCAATCAAAAGACCAATGACAAAGGAAACATTTGCATTTAATATCATAAAGGTTGATTCCTTGTAATATATAAAATCCTTATAGATCAATAAGGAAAAGGTCTACAATGCAAGAAAAAAAATGGTCAGAACACAAAAAGAATACCTAGGAATACAGCTAAACAAGGAGGTGAAAATCTCTACAATGAGAATTACAAAACACTGCTCAAAGAAATCAGAGATGACAAAAACAAATGAAAAAATATTCCATGCTTATGGATAGAAAAAGTCAATATTGTTAAAATGGTCATACTTCCCAAAGGAACTTATGGTTCAATGCTATTCCTATTAAATGACCAATGACATTCTTCATATAAACTATTTTAAAATTCATATGCAACCAGAAAAGAGCATACCAATAGCCAAGGCAATCCTAGCAAAAAGAACAAAGCTAAAGACATAACATTACATGACTTCAAACTATACTACAGAACCACAGTAACCAAAACGCATGATACTGGTACAAAAACAGACACATAGACCAATGAAACAGAATACAGAGCCCAGAAATAAGGCCACACAGCTATAACCATCTGATCTTTGACAAAGCTGACAAAAACAAGCAATGGCAAAGCACTTGCTATTCAATAAATGGTGCTGGGATAACTGGCTAGCCATATGCAGAAGATTGAAATTGGACCCCTTCCTTACACCATATACAAAAATAAACTCAAGATTGATTAAAGACTTAAATGTAAGACTAAAAACTAAAAATCCTAAAAGACATCCTAGGCAATAACATTCTAGACATAGAAACTGGTAAAGATTTTATGACGAATATACCAAAAGCAACTGCAACGAGAGCAAAAATTGACAAATGGGATCTAATTAAATTTTAGAGGTTCTGCACAGTAATAGAAACTATTAATAGAGTAAACAGACAACCTACATAATGGGAGGAAATATCTGCAAACTATGTGTCTGACAAAGGTCTAATGTTCAGCATCTATAAGGAACTTAAAGTTACATGAAAAAAAAACATTAAAAAGCAGGCAAAGGACACAAACAGACCCTTTTCAAAAGAAGACATGTGTGGTCAAGAAGCATATAAAAACAAGCTCAATATCACTGGTTACTAGATAAACACAAATAAAAACCATAATAAGATACCATCTCACACCAGTTAGAATGGCTGTTATTAAAAGTAAAAAATAATAGATGCCGGCAAGGTTGCGGAGAAAAGGGAACATTTATACACAGTTGGTGGGAATGTAAATTAGTTCAACCATTGTTAAAAGCAGTGTGGTGATTCCTCAAAGAGCTAAAATCAGAACTACCATTCAACTCAGCAATCCCATTACTGGGTGTATACACAAAGGAATATAAACTGTTTTACCGCAAAGACACATACACATGAATGTTCATTGCAACACTATTCACAGTAACAAAGATATGGAATTAATCTAAATACCCATCAATGGTAGATGGGATTAAAAAAATGTGATACAAATACACCATGGAATATTACACAGCCATAAAAAAGTACACAACCAAGGGATCCCAAGATGGTTGAATAAGAGGCAGCTCTGGAAAACAGCTCCCAGTGAGAGAGACACAGAAGCCAAGTGGTCTCCACAATTCCAAATGAGGTACCAGGTTCATTTGGTGGGTCTGGTTGGACAGTGGGTATAAACCAAATAGGGCAAGTAGAGGCAAGGTGGGGTAACGCCCCACCCAGGAGGTGCATGCAACCAACCAGAGGACCAGGGGATCTCCTCCTCTGGGACTTCGGTTTGGATACAGTGCTCCTCCCAAGCCCTCTACAACCCACAGAACAGGAGATCTTTGCCAGGCTGAAAAGCCTCAGTGAGCTGCCTGAATAGGGCAGAACAGCAACTTTGGCAGGCGCCGGGGCTGTCAGCATAGATCTAGGTAGAAGCACTGGCTGACTTGAAAGCCAGAAAGCTGGCTGGATGGAGCCACCGGCTCCCCAGAAAGAAGGGGAACTGCAAACAGGGAAACAGCCCATACGGCAGGATGGGTCCCCTGCACAAAGCCTAGAGGCTAGAAAACTCTCACTCCAGAGTTTTGCACCCAGAACATCAGTTAGAGAGTGACCAGGAATGATTGAGCTCGGCACGGGGAAGGGCAGCCACCATTGCAGAAGCCAGCCTTATGTTCCTGAGTAAATAAAAGATGCAGCAGCTCCACTGAATCTGTGGCAGGCCAGCAGCGCCTCTGCAGGCAGACAAAGGAAAGTCTGCCTCCCCAAGCAGCTACCTGAGATCAAAACTATATAAATCCAAGGAGATGGGAAGAAACCAGCGCAAGAA